GCAACCCCTCTTGTCTAGGGTTTTATTTATAGATCTTGAGAATTTAGTTGCCCTCTTCCCTGTCTGCTGATCAAGCAAACTGCTTGCTGGTTGGGAACACGTTTTTGCTTATACATCAGGAAAAGGACTCTTTAATGAACATTCCTCGAAATTTCACAATTACATTAATTAGCCAAAAGACAAGATTTATATATAGATATATCACCAAAAAATATACTACTCCAATGTATATCGATCTCAGTAGCAGCTGGCATCTGCGTCCAATGGATCAGAATCTTATTTTCTCTTTAAATTAAGAGATGCAGTAGATCAAATCAGTTTTCCATGAGCAAATCCGACTATTTCGTTAACTACTTATAATGATAAGACCAAATTATGTTTTTTTTTTTTTTTTTTTTTTTTTTTTTTTTTTTTTTTTTTTTTTTTTTTTTTTTTTTGCATAGCTTATAGCGTTTATGTTTTTTGGTCCTTTTTTCCTTTTCAATTGCCCACATATATCGTAGCTTTTCAAAAAAAAAAATATTTATTTTTTCTATTTTTCATGTGACACTTTGTTCTCGCACACCGAAAGTTATGATCCTTTTTGGGACCAAACACCTATCTTATGATACCATACTCTTTTAGGTACAGAAACCTCTTTAATTGGTCCTACCAATCATGGTTTCGTCGGAAAATTACACTGCATGTATAGGTAAAATATTATATTTTAGAGGTATATAACACAAATTGAACACTCTTTCTTGGAGATTTTTTTCACTTCTTTCAAGTTTGAACACCATTGAGTAAATTCCTGGCTTCGCCATTGCTACCAATGATATATCATTATTTATTTTTCTTTAAGCTAATCGTGATCGCATTTCTTCAAATACAATAACATAGCATATTTCTCAATATGTTATAGTGCTTTAAAGAAGATTAATTTTATGCGTAAAATTTTAAAAAGTATGATACAAAAATGTGTAAATTAGGTAGAAAATTGTAAATAAAATACTAATTGAAATTTGAAACAGAGGAGTGCTTGTGAACTGAACCTTGGTTTCAGGTGTATGTTGTCTACAGAAAGAATCTCAATGGATTCTCTTTCTTTCTTTCGGACACAGTCAATGGAACACCAAGTTTTAGAATCTTTTTTTCAGGGGCTCCACCCCAAATATTATGGATTGTTGCGCGTGTATCCCGTCTCAATAAGTATAAAATAAAAAATTACATAAATACCATGTTAACTAATTACGTTTGAGTTATAAAATAAGTTTAAGAAAAAAGTGTGAGTTATTGAAAATAATAATTAGTGGTTATATTTAGTAACTCAATAAATGAAGAAACGGTGATAATAGAAGTCATCAATCATCTTAGTCAATATTTTCAACTTAAGATTTATTCATTACTATAACTTCACAAGTTGTCGTATTTCTTTTTATTTTCATCAAGAGCACATAAACTCTCGAAGATTCAAATTTTTTTTTTGAAAACTTTTTGAGAAATATATATTCTTAAGTTCATTCTAGAAAACATACAAAGGATCATCTAACTGACAAAAGATTTTTTTTTTCTCGCAAACAAAATGTGGATTATTCTATTTCTTTAATATATAAGAATTATTCTAAAAGCTATAAAACAACTAAAAAAAATGAGATTTTAGCCAAACAGGCTCATGTTCATTCAAGGTTAACAATTAAGAATACAAAATAAAATAAAAACTTGTTGAATACGTGAATGCAAAATTTAATTATTAAAATAAATATGTAAATGCAAATTTAACTACTAATATAAACGCGTGAATGTAAAATTGAACTACTATAACAAAAAATTGCTCAAAGAAGAACCTGAAAGTCCTTAATTTATAGTTGTTTCTCGAACAAGGCAAAGTTTTGATGATGAAAACGTAGAATTGTACGTAGCTCTTTTATAGAAATTTTTGGTATATAATTTGAAACATGAAAAGATGTATACAAAATAAAATTATGTATAATTTAATGATTTGTTAGAAAATAAAGACTCCTAAACCAAAAAGAAAATCAAATTGCACGTTTTTACCTAATATTTTTTGAAGAATTAATTTGTCAAAAAAAATTTAACTAAAAAATTTCCTATGATATTTTCCTTTGAAAGTAAATAAAATTTTCCTAAGTTAGATGAAAGACGAAACTTTTAGTTTGAGTTGAATAACAAAAACTTTCCAAGTTTTAGTTGAAAGTGTTTGAAATTTTAGATCTAAAAGAAACTGAAAAATAAAAGTTTTAAGTATTTTATTAAATGATTGTTCCTAAATAATAGAAAATTAATTAAATGACTATTCCTCAATATAGAAAAATAATCAAATAAATATTTTGTCTAGTGTGAACTCTATTTCAAAGGGGTAAAAAAGGCGAACGACATTTCACTAAGGGCCTTCGTGCTTTTGATATAGTAACTGGTGTTAGTGAACGTGCTTTGCGCGTGTACCCATATTAATAAATATAACTTTTTTGAAAGTTATGTAAATATTAGATATTTATGTAACGTAAAAGTTAAAGTTTTTTTTTTTTTTGAAAATAATAGATATTTTTGTATTTAGCTAGCTCAATAGATGATGAAATCATGTCCAATTGAAGTTTTCAAACATCTTATTGTGATCTATGAGGACTTATGCGAAACTCTTATAAAAATTATTGTTATGTGATTAATACTAAAACAAAATACGAAAATATTTTTTCACGATTCTTAGATTGAATCTTTTGGTCTTTTAGAATTTGAGAATGAAAAGATTGGCCTTGACCTCCTAAATATTAATAACAAAATATAAAATTTTAAAAATTGACTAATGTTGAGTTCATATTTTGCGATAAATAACTTAAAATATGAAGAATATAGGGAGTTGTCCTTCGTCGGTATAGATTCAAAAAAGAATAATAATGAAGGACAACTCATTTAGAATACATATTTTAAAAGAAAAAAATTACTGATAATTCCTTAAGAATACATTTGTACTTAGAATTAATAAGCGCAAAATTTTGAATATTACCTAAACATTATTAAAAATATATTTTGAGTTATAAAATAAAAATTAAGAAAAATATTTAAGTTTCTAAATTTTTTTTATCCAATTTAACTAACTCAGTAAAAAATAGATAAGTTTTCACGTGAATTGCAGGACTCTAGCTAATAAAAATGTCACCGAAGTACTTGAAAATAATGTAAGATTTTATAAAGAAATATATTACCATCGAACTAAATTACAATTAGGGCTCTCAGCTTTTTGTTGTTCCTTTTTTTCTCCCAAAATTAACTTTTTATTTGCTATAATATATTGCTAAAAAATAACAATAACATTAATTGGTCAATTTAGTTTGTTTGCAAAGTATGATAAATTCTTTTACTTACCAAAAAGAATATTAATTGTAAGAAGAAAAAAAAGTTAAAAAATAGATATATTCCACCACCTATACATCACGTTATTTCCAATATCTAAAAAGTTAGATTTTTTTAGTAAGGTTTTAATTAATTTCAACTTAAATATTAGGATTTCTTACTTAATTCATAAGGAAAGATGTAGCAATCAAACTTTTCGTTGATTTTATTGTCCTAGATATTAGGAAAATAATTTAAATTACAACTTTGTCCAATATAATATTTATTTTTAAAGAGTATAAAAGACGAACAACATTTAGCTAAGAGCCTTCGTGTTTTTAATAAAGTACAAATATAGATAGATATAGATATAGATATAAATAGATAATAAATAATAGATATACGGTAGTCAAAATTTTCCTAAGTTAAATAATACTAGTAGTATTATCTTTTCACTTCATCCTCTTCCTATATGTATTTCCTCTTTAGTCGGAGCTATATGAATTGTTGAATTTCTCTAACATAATGAGGCTTTTAGTGTAATTAATTGCAAAAGTGCTTCAAAATTTGATTGAGGTCATAGATTCAAATTTCAAAGTGTAATATGTTTTGATTTTTTTTTTCCTTATAAAATTTGTGTTACGTAAATGTCATTTGTCCGGTAAGAGAAATAAAATAATAGATGTTATTTGTTAAACTCAAATCTCTCTATAACAACCACTCGATATAATAACATTTCACTATAACTATAAAAATTAATTTTTTTTCAGAAACTATCTTTTTTTTGTTATATTTTACTTTTCTATAACAACATTTTACGTATAACAACCACCGTCTTTATAGCAGTACGTTATTTATTAAAATTATCCATAATAACAACCATATTTATAGAAGTAGAATCTCTAATATTACCAAATAATAGGCCTAGAGATTTTAACTAAAACTTTTTTTCAGCTTAAGCACTTTTATCCAAACACGTAACGTAAAACCAACTCAAGCACCTAAAAAGTGTTTTTAAGAACTTGTACTTAAAGACCACTTTTTTCCGGTCAATCCAAACGGATTCTAAATATTTTGAAACATTAATACATTCATTATAAAACTAAAAAAAAATCAAAACAAGTGAGGCTGTTATAGAGAGATTTGCCTGTATTAGGTGAAGGAATAAGCATCCAAAAAATATTATTAAAAAATGAAAAAAATTTAAATAATAGCCTTAAAGTATTTTATCTTTTTTCTTATGGGTGACAAGGTTTTTCTGAAGCGTCATCTTTTTTTTTAATCCTCAGAATCTTTAAAGTTACTAGTAGAATCAACAGCAACGGCAAGTACCATTTAGAATAGGAATATCAAAGGGGCCACGAAAATGAAATATGAAGTACAGGCGTAGAAGAGCACATTAAAGGTGATTTTCCTTTTTTTTGGGTTCTCTCCCGTGTCCGCTACTCGCACCGGAGTCCGATTATATCCGAATTCGCATCGCATAGGGTCCCATTCGAGTAAAGCACTCCCTATCAAAATTTTTTACATACCCAATATTTAAATTCGAGACCTCTAGTCAAAGGAGTAGTCTTATCCACTGCACCGGGTAAGGTGATTTTCCTTTTAAGCGCGAGTGAGTGTGTGCGTCTGTACTCTGTATCTTATTCTATTCTTTACAATACAGTGGCTTACATCAGCAGCCAGGAGCAGTTCATATAGGGAGGGGTGGCGGACCTTTATTCATATACTAGTACACAACTTTAACTGTGTCCCATTTCTCTGTAGTGCTCTCTCTCTTCTCTATATTCTCTCCTCAGTTACAAAAATTTCTGTGGATGTCATGGGTTCTGAACTCTGACTGCCTTAGGTAACAAAATTAAAAGCAAGCCACCCCTTTATATATATATATATATATGTGAAGTGACTTTACCAAATTCTTATGATGTTTTTCAGTTCTTGAAATTAGTCATATAGCCAGCCAGACATGCCAGCTTAATTAAAGACTATATATATTTCAAGAATCTTTCTCAAAGTGAGTTGCTTTTCCTACTTTTATTCTACCGAGTATCTTTTTTCCACTCCCTGTAATTGCTGGTCTTTCTTTCTTTTGCTATACATGGTTGAATTAATGACCTTTTTGTGTGTGTGATTCTCGCTTTGCTAATTCTGCAAAGTCAAATTCTACATTACATACTCGATGTAGCTTTTGTTTAACTCTACAAAGACGATAACTTTGGAATTGGAATGTTTGTCTTCTCTTGTTGTTTAGATCAACAACTTTATGTTCAACTTGTACTATTTCTGACCCCCTTAGATCCATAATCCATCCGTCTTGATTTGTTTCTTTGTTGACAGCTCAGGTTGTTTATAGTTTCTCTTTAGTTTAAATTCCTTGGGGGGGG